AATTTACCCAATTTTAAATTTTAAGACAAAATGGTATCAGTAATGACAGTGCAATCGAAAATAAGACAGACTGTTTGAATTTATCATCAGAATTAAGAACATAAGAACATAAGAATTAGGAGCAGGAGTAGACTATTCGGCCCCTCGAGCCTGCCCCGCCATTCGATAAGATCGATAAGATCATGGCTGATCTTTAGACCTAACTCTAATTACCTGCCCTATCCCCATATCCCCTAATCCCTCTATTTTTTAAAAAATCCATCAGTCTCAGCCTTGAAGATGTTCAAGGACTGAGCATCTACAGCCTTCCGGGGTAGTGAATTCCATCAATTCACTACCCTCAATTCACTACCCTCTGAGTGAAGATAATTGAATTGAACATTGAAATTAGATGAGTAATTATGCTTTCGATTTTGAAATGGGAGAAAAAAAAGTGTGTTAGTTAATGGCTAGATCAGAGTGTCATTTTAGATTTGCTTTTATTGCTGCCAGCAAAATTAGTGAGTGACTTTAACTAATTCCTAGCTTGCTAACATTTCTATTAATTGGTTTGATTATACTAGCTCACTTACAGAAATATCTTCAATCTTTTCACTAATCACTCTTGTGTCAATATGTGTCACTCCAGTCAACATTTCAAATGTCAAGTAAAAGAGTATCCCTTTATAAAAACAGACGCTAAGGTGATTTAGATGAAAATTAGGGAAAGTGGAGGGGTGAGACGGAAAGGCTGAGAAATTTTCCATCCTTGTTGTCTCAGTTCAGAAGTTGCTGATTGTCCTGGTTTCAAGTGTATTTATTGTAAAAGACTTCGAGAATGTTCATTTTAGGGTCAGTCTCTAAAATTGTTACAAAAGAGTAAGGAAACCGATTTGCACATTAGGATCAAGCGCTTTGAGACGTCTCAACAACGTGATATGGCGCTATATCAAATGCAAAGATTATTAAGATCCTAATGTTTGCACATTATGTAAAAACGCGAGAGAAAAGGTCTGAATTAAATAAAAGCCGTAAAAAGTTATCATCTTTCTTGTGTATTGTGTCAACACAAGATGCCATAGTAATATGTTTATAATGCAGCTGTGTTTTTTTAAAGATGGTATTTTTTTCTGTTTATCGGAGGGGGAGAGAAGAGAATTGAGATTCTCATTTTTCTCCCTTTGCAGGCCGCTCTCCATAGCCATCTGAGCCACGGTCTTCTCCACATCCGCAGTCAGGAGGTGTGATTGAAGCAGGGTGAGCCAAACCATATTCTTGTAGTCTTTCTCCCTCTTGCAGGCTGTTCTAACATATCCTCCTCTAATTGAGAAGGTGGAAAGAGGTCAGGTTTGAATAGTCAACATGAGAGATGGAAGAATATTATACTATAGCTTTTTAACCTAAATGACTTTGGAGTTCAGACAGTTTCTATGTGAAGATTTCCTCCTGGAAGATGTAGTGAGTAGGATGGAATCAATTTTTTTTTGGACAGAAGGATGTCTGACATACGCAGAAACCCATCACCATGTTTAAGAGTATACAAACCAAGCATCCCACCTACACATGGAAATCCCAGAGATAGATTGTTGTAATTGAAGGTACACTCTCTCCCTGGAGGGACACATCCTGCTTACCTAATTCCGAAAAGTATTAGCTGCAGGTTGGCAAGAGCCAAGGCTTGGGAACCCTAGAGTGTGCATTGAGATTCTGCTTGAGTCTAACCAACTAAAACCACAGAACTTGCCATTGATAATGCTCTCTGGCAAGCTTTCCCGCTGCTTTTCCAGCTAGGACCACCCTACCTGTTAGGGCTTTGGCTTGCAGGGTTAACAGGAGCTGAGTGGGATAACTCTCTGCCCCCAGTGACTGGTCTGCCCTTCCAGGTCCTGCTGATGAGCCAGGCTGGCTGTGCTGCCATCAGTGCCCTGGAATCCATGAATGAAGGAAACGTCAAAGCAAGCATTCTTAGGGAAATTTAATAATAAATACTCGAAGTAAAAGAATGTTGAAGCATAAGGGAGCAGAGTAGCTGGCTCCAATGGAAGAGCAAGAATTTGCACAGATACAATGGTCATGTATCTGCTCCTACTGTAATGTACGTGTTCTACGATTCTATAACTATCTCCGCAAGTGTGGTTAATGATGTACTAAACAGCACATAAGTATCAGCCAAATGGGTGTTAGCTCTCCTTGTCCTTTGTTACTGTAACTGAATGCTGCAAGTGCAGAAAATTAAATTTTTAATGAGCATGAATAAATGTATTTGAATCCAAAGTGAGTGAGTTATTAATTTGGGATTACAATTGTGTTGAACAGATTATTAAGCAAGTTTATTTTAATATTGGTTAATATCTTGGCACCTCAGAATGTGGAGCAAAAGCTTTTTTAAAAATACTTATTAGTGCAGCTTAGAGGCTGAGAATCTAACTAACCGTGCAGTAGAATTTCACCCATTGTCGCATTGTGGTTATTTGGCAAATCCCAATGGCTAATGATTGTTGTTTGAAGTGAAGAAGTAAATGAGACTATTGATATTTCTGTTTGGGTGGAAGCTATCATGTCTGCATGAAGTAAACCGGTCCACATTAGAATTTTATAAAGGAAACGGAAAGAAGTTGGGAACCAGATACAGCAGTTTTCAACTCCAATAGATGAAAGGGTGTTTTGTTTTAATTGAGGTTCACCCTGAATTTGTTTTTTTTCTGATATAAGTGCAAGTTATTCTTTTTCTGATACCATGGTTGCTGAAAGGACACAAACTCTAAGCTTTTGCACGGATTAAAGCAAAGGGAGGAAGTGGATAATGTCCACTCCAGCTTGTGGTTCATTGTGCTGTCACTTTGAGTTGTGTCGTAAGAATAGACCAAGAACAAAATATTTGCTCAAAGTAGCTTTTTCCACTGTTTCAGAAGAAGTTTTAAATAAAAACACACAGAATCTGCAGTAACTTAAACCATCTAGCAAACAATCTTTCATTGATCGTTACTACTTGAATGCTGTTGGAGCCATCTTAATAGGCTGTATCGTTTCTGCATTCATATAGCCCAGTTCTGTATGCAAGGTACAAAGACTTTTGAGACTAATCTCTGAGGAACTAAAATGCACAGTAATATCATGTGAGACTATCCTGCAGAGCAAAATGTTCTGTGAATTATTCTTTGTGCATTGTTTGCCTTCAGTTTACATTAAGCTTTGTTTTGGGGTAAGTAAATATTTTGCAAAGAAGCTCAGTGCTGCAACATTACAGCATTGCTTGTTGAACATTATTGTACACAAGCCTGAGACAAGGTCTCCAAATAAATATATATGATATATATATGTGTGTGTATGTATGTCTGATATCTAGGAAAGTTGAAGAATTACCTATCTTGGATCTATAACTCCTTTAAGTAGAATATGTTCTAATCACAAGTTCTTTTTGAAAATAGTCAAGTTTGCACTCTGTTAGAATATTCACGTTACAATGCATTAATGATTTTGCAGAATTCTATACCTTAGAGACTGTTATGTTTTGGCAGAGGCATCCGCATTCATGTACTGGGAATCCAGGTTTGAGGCACAGCTGAGCAAAGAGGCTAAATGGGCAAGGAATCGGTACTGTTGAGAGTTTGGGAGGATGGTGGGTGAAGCCCTTTGTAGAATGTTGAACTTGAGAACCAATTGCTGGAAGGACATTATTGGAGCCTTTTGGAACAGGATGATACTTTTCTTGTGCTACACCTTGCAACCAATTGTAGCCATACATCTGGGAAATCAATATTACGCCAAAGGTTACACCATTTTTAGTGCAGAGCAGATTGCCTTCTAGGCTGTCAATGTTGAGGACAATATAGAGTAATTTTGGGCTCCTTTTGGTACTTTTCTAAGGCACTGTGAAGAGGATTTGTCAGGGGTTGATGAGGCAATATGTGCAATAATGCCTGGCTAGAGATTTGTAGGAAGATCTTGTTTGAGCCAATGGTTTCCTGTAGTTATCCTGCCTAATTGCATTGTTTAAGATATTCCATACACTCTCCCTTTTGGTACATTGGAACCATTACTCATATAATAATAATAATAATCCTTGCATTTGATATAGTGCTTTTCACGCCTTCTGGACATCTCAAAGGGCTTCACAGAATATACTGTAAAGTGAATTGACTGTATATTTGTAGGTGAAACTCAGCAGCCAGTTGCACACAGCAGTGTCCCACAAACAGTCGTGGATTGAAGTGACCAATTTTATTATTGTTTTTTTTTTCTTGAGGGTTTATTATCAGGCATGTGGTGAAAGGAAACTTGCCCAAGGTTTCGCCCTGCTGGGAATCGAACCTGGATCTCTCGCTTGTGAGGCAAGTGCTCTAACCACTGAGCTACAGACCTCTAAAATATTGGTTGTAGACAAATATAAAGACTTCCTTGTCAAGGTTTTGGATCTGGTAGGTTGAGGTGGGATGGACAGGAACTGATTGACATCGACTGTATTAATCTTGAACGTGCTTGCCCATTCCCAATAAGTGACCCAGTAATTGCATTAAGAATGGAATTTGTTGAACATTTGATTTTTAGCAAAGCAGCCCTGTTTACCACAGGCTCCCTCTCGGTCACATAGCTTCCAGCCAGCGTACGTGTTTCTACTTCATAAAATTTGCATAACAAATATATGAACTGAGTATTTGGGTCATACTTGTGGATTAGTAACACAACTATCTCTAGATTACAACGACATATATCTGAACCAGGGCCAATATATGCAAATGGACATTTTCTGTCACATAGAGTTTCCCTGAGGATCTAATCAATGTAAAGACGTCCTTCATGTTCACGTAATCACAGTTTTGCAAATTTAGCTGCGAAGTGACATTTTGCAAGAGATCAGGATTTAAGTACTTGAGCAAATTTGGGTTATATAATTACCTGTTACACTGTATAGTAGATGCAAAATAGTACCAAATTTTTGCTCATAGTAATGGTGGTTTGTAGTCTTCAAGTTGCCTTAAAACATAAAATCAACTCTCATCGGTATTTGTTTTTTCTTCCAGGGCACCAATGCCTCTGCTCTGGAGAAAGACATTGGTCCGGAGCAGTTCCCAATCAATGAACACTATTTTGGTTTGGTCAATGTAAGTTTATTTAAATATCCTTTAAACACGCTTTTTGAAAGTTGCCAGACATTCCGTGGCTGCCTTCAATGCTTTGAATTGTACATCAATCAGAAATGGGCTTTCAAAAAGAACTTGAATACTATCTTTTCTTCTCTTGAACAAGGAAAAGATTTGGGGTTGAATTCATATAGAAAGTATAAATATTTGACTTCGGGCTATTTAGTTAAAATGCATTCATGTAATTTACAGTAGAATAATTTTTCTTTTTATTAAACATGGTAAGGGACTGCACTGCTCCAGCAGATCAAAATGACTGCTTCTGTTGATTCCACATATATTTTTTACCAATCAAAGGCTGGAATTCCAGTTTTCAACAACTCCTTCCATCGATTTACTGCACTGAGATGCTACTCTGCATAAAGGGCACAAAATAAATACAAGTTGTTTTGTAGATTAGTCAATCCAATTAACTGCTTTTAAGGGGAAAAAGAATGGCAAAGAGACAATTTTTAAAACCTTTTATGCATAGAATGTTTTTTTGTTTTGTTGACGTGGACTAATGCAGTTTAAATCCTGGAATGCCGTCATGCTACAGTACTTGCACATGAGATTTTAGGCTGAATTATTGTCTGATTTTTAAATGGATCGTGGTATAAAATTTTATTTTATAAATTTCCTGGGACGTCTTCCCGACGTGAAAGGCGTTCTATAAATGGAATCTTGTTGTTGTTATAAATCAACTTTATTCTTCTCCAGTTTTAAACATAACCTTTCTTCACTAATGGGTTCTGTACTGCAGCTGAAACATTTCATTGCAGAGCGATATGTATAATCGCTAAAATGCATGTTGTAATTAATATTCACAATCAAACAGCACTCTTGTTGTTAAAAGTACTGTGACTTAATCAAGAGTTTGACACTTGGCATCACTTTTTAAACAAATGTTCCCAATTTATGGTTGCCCCGGATTGTTTTCAAATTACTTTGCTGTGATTGTGTTAACCTAAATGTTACTCGTCTCTTTTCTTTTGCTAGTTTGGGAACACTTGCTATTGTAACTCCGTGCTGCAGGCATTGTACTTCTGCCGCCCATTTCGAGAGAATGTCCTTGCATACAAGGCACAGCAGAAGAAGAAGGAAAACCTGCTGACCTGTCTTGCCGATCTCTTCCACAGCATTGCCACCCAGAAGAAAAAAGTTGGTGTGATTCCTCCAAAGAAATTCATTTCTAGGTTACGCAAAGAGAATGGTGAGTGTTGCAATGTAGTGTGAAATGGAAAGGGAATTGTTAAACATATTTTATATGTTATATAACATATAGGCTACTCCCTGAGACCCTCACAAAGGCCCTCTCATCATCAAACATCCTATCTCTCTGGCCTTCTACCCGTGGAGATCCTGAAGCAGCCGTCCAGCTGCTCCATGATCACCTCTCCTCCACCCTCAACTCTCTCGTCCCCCTAAGATCCAGGACCATCTCCAAACCCACCCGATCCCCCTGGTACAACAACCATCTCCGCCACCAAAAAAACCAAACCCGTCTGCTCGAGCGCAGATGGAGGAAAACTGGCCTGACAGTTCACCGCTAACTGTGGCCCGAGCATCTCCACAGCTACCGCCGTTCTTTGACACGCGCAAAAACAGCTTCTACTCGAACATCATCTTGGAGGCTAAGCACAACCCTAAAATCCTTTTTTCCACCACCCACTACCTCTTCCGTGCCCCCCCCCTCAGGCCTCCTCAATCTTCATATCAAATGCCAAGTGTGAGGAGGTCATGGACTTCTTTTCATCTAAAATACTTGACATCCGCCAGGCAGCCTCATCGACCTGCCTCTTGTCACCCTCTCTGCCCCCCTCACCTTCCTCATCATCTGCTCCTACCACCACCCCCATTCTACATTCCTTCCTCCTCCCCATCTCTTCCTCCTCCCTCTCACCCACCATCACCTCCATGAAACCCACCATCTGCTGCCTCGACTCCCTCTCCACCAACTTACTTGTCACCCAGCTCCCCCTCCTCTGCCCACTACTCGCTGACATCATTAACCAGTCGCTCTCCTCCGGATCAGTCCTGCCCCTCAAAACTGCTGTCATCAACTCCCTCCACAAAAAACCTTCCCTAGATCCCTCAAACCCCAGCCACTACCACCCCATTTCTAACCTGCCCTTCCTCTCAAAAGTTCTAGAACGCATTGTTGCCAATCAACTTCACGCCCACCTCTCCTCCCACTCCCTCTTTGAACCCCTCCTGTCCAGTTTCCACTCTGCCCACAGTACAGAGACTGCGCTTGTGAAAGTCACAAACGATATCCTCTCTATCCGTGACCAGGGCTCCCTCTGCCTCCTTGTCCTCCTGGACCTCTCCATCGCATTCGACACAGTTGACCACGCCATCCTCCTCCACCGCCTTTCCTCCGTCGTCCACCTCAGTGGGACCGTACTCGCCTGGTTCGAGTCCTACCTCACAAACCGCCAGCAGTACATCTGCACAAACGGCTTCTCCTCCCGTTCTCACCCAGTCACCTGCGGGGTACCCCAAGGATCCATCCTTGGCCCCCTCCTCTTTCTGATCTACATGCTCCCTCTTGGGGATGTCATCGCAGATATGGGCTACATTTCTACATGTATGCAGATGACACCCAACTCTATTTTTCCACCTCTCTTTCCAACTCCCAGTCCCCTGATGTTCTGTCAGCCTGCCTGTCAGATCACCGGGGCTGGGTGAGCGCAAATTTCCTTCAGCTGAACATTGACAAGACGGAAGCCATACTCTTTGGCTCTTGTCAACATCTAAAATCTCACAGCTCTCACCTCCTCCACCTACCCAAACTTCCCCTAAACTCGAACCCATACGCAACCTAGGTGTCAGGTTTGACCTCCAATTATCCTTCCTGGCCTACATCCGGTCCCTCACTAGCACCGCTTTCTTCCACCCCCGACGCATCGCCTGTCTCCGCCAATACCTCTCCCCAAAAGCTGCTGAAACTCTGGTCCATGCCTTTGTCACCTCTCGGCTGGAGTATTCTAACGCCCTCCTCGCCGGCCTCCCATCCACTACCATCCATAAAATCCAAATCATTTAAAACTCTGCCATCCGCATTCTCACCCGCACGAAACTCCGCTCCCCGATCACCCCAGTCCTTGCCAGACTGCACTGGCTGCCTATCCCAGAGAGGATCGATTTCAAGATCCTCACCCTTGTATTCAAGTCCCTGCACTCCTCTGCACCCCCTACCTCTCTGACCTCTCTCCTCGAAACAGTACCCGTTGCCTTCGTTCCTCCGGATCTGGCCTCCCCCGAGTCCTCCGCTCCACCCTCGGCGGCTGTGCCTTCAGCCACTATGCCCTGAGACTCTGGAACTGCCTTCCTCACTCCCTTCGTCTCGCTCCATCCCTTCCCATTTTCAGGTCTCTGCTGAAGACCTTTCTTTTCGACCGCGCCTTTGGTCATCTCCCTCCCCCTGGCTGGGTCCTGGGATCCGTTTCTGTAAAGCGCTGTGAGACGCCGTCCGGCGTGGAGGGCGCTATTTAAATCCTTGTTGTTGTTGTATATAATTGCTGCAAAATGTATTCTTTCTTGCTGGTGTGGTCCAAATCTATTCTCTAGGACACTGCTGTGCGCGATTGGCTGTCATGTTTAGCCCACAAGATGTACAGCCAATTCACTTTACTGTATATTCTGTGAAGCGCTGAGACGTCCCTTGAAAAATAAAAATACCACGGGAAAAGTGGTTCAACCTTGGGTAACTAGAGAAGTTAGGGAAAGTATAACATTTAAAGAAGAGGCCTATAATACTGTCAAAAAGAGCAGTAAACCTGAGGATTGGGAGGACTTTAGAGAACAGCAGAGGAAAACCGAGAAACTGATTAAGAGGGAGTAAATGGAATATGAGGGTAAACTAGCTAGGAACATAAAGTCAGATTGTAAGAGTTTTTACAAGTACAGAAAGAGGAAGAGACTATCAAAAATGAATGTGGGTCCGTTGCAGGCAGAGACAGGAGAAATTATAATGGGGAATAAAAAAATGGCAGAGTCATTAAACAAATATTTTCACGTTAGAGGACATTGAAAACTTATCAAAAATAGAGGGGAACCTGGAGGCTAATGTTAGTGAGGAACTTAGAAAAAAAAATGAACATCAGTAAAGCAATAGTACTAGAGAAATTGATAGGATTAAAAACCGATAAATCCCCTGGACCTGATGGTCTTTAGGGTTTTAAAAGTGGTGGCTACAGAGATAGTGGATGCTTTGTTTTTGATCTTCCAAAATTCCCAGGATTCTGGAATGGTTCCCAGTGTTGGAAGGTTGCAAACGTAACGCTGATATTTAAGAAGGGTGTGAGACAAAAAATGGGGATCTATAGACCAGTTAGTCTGGCATCAGTGGTAGGGAAAATTCTGGAGTCCTTAATTAGGGACATTGTCGTGGGGTACTTAGAAAATCCTAACATGATTAGGCAGAGTCAACATGGCTTTACGAAAGGGAAACCATGTTTAACAAATCTTATGGAATTTTTTGAGGATGTAACTGGCAGGTTAGATAGGGGGGAACCAGTAGGTGTGGTGTATTTAGATTTCCAGAAGACATTTGACAAGGTGCCACACAAAAGGCTGTTGCATGAGATTAGAGCCAATGGAATTAAAGGTAATATATTAGCAGAGATTGGAGAGTGGCTAACAGGAAGAAAACAGAGAGTAGGAAGGCTAATACCATGTAGGCGTTCGTTGCAAAAGGGTTAGAGTACAAGTGTAGGGAAGTCTTGCTGCAGTTGTATAAGGCCTTGGTGAGACCGCACTTAGATTATTGTGTGCAGTTTTGGTTTCCTTATTTAAGAAAGGATATACTCGCCTTAGAGGGGGTGCAGTGTAGATTGACTAGGGTGATTCCTGGGATGAGGCGGTTGACCTATGATAGGTTGAGTAAACTAGGCCTATATTCTCTAGAATATAGAAGAATTTGAGGTGATCTTATAGAAACCTATAAGATTCTTAAGGGACTTGACAGGGTAGATTCTCCCGGTTGGAGAATCTAAAACTAGATAGTCTCAAGATTAAGGGTCAGCCTTTTCGAACTGAGTTGAGGAAACATTTCTTCACTCAGAGGGCAGTAAATTTGTGGAATTCTCTACCCCAGAAGGCTGTGGATGCTCAGTCCTTGAACATATTCAAGGCTGAGGTTGATGGATTTCTAAAGGATAGAGGAATTAAGGGATATGGGGATAGGGCGGGTAAATGGAATTAGGTTAGAAGATCAGCCACGATCTTATTAAATGGCGGGGCAGGCTCGAGGGGCCGAATGGCCTAGTCCTGTTCCTATATTTTATGGTCTTATGGAAGATGTGATAGGCGCTATATCAAATGCAAGGATTTTGATATGTAATTAAGAATAAGACTTGGTCTTCATTTTTTCTCTTCCCAACTGTAGATTTGTTTGACAACTACATGCAACAAGATGCTCATGAGTTTCTGAACTACCTGTTGAACACCATCGCTGACATCTTGCAGGAAGAGAAGAAGCAAGAGAAACAGAACGGAAAACTAAAAAACGGAAATGCCAATGAAGTGGAAGAAAACAACAAGCCCGATCCCACCTGGGTGCACGAGATCTTTCAAGGAACACTCACCAATGAGACACGATGTTTGAACTGCGAAACGGTAAAACAAACATTGGTTATCTTTTTTGTTTGTATGTACTCCTTTGAGCACTTTTCCTCGCGTTTCTTCAGCCATGGTGTTTTTCTACCCCCTAACCCCTGACCTGTTTGTCTGTTGAGTAAACTGGTGATAACTCAGGCTTTTAACAATACTGTATTATGTAACCAGCTGATGGGGCAGGGATGAAAAGAAAAAGGGGAGGGTGGGATATGGAAAAAACATTTTGACATCTGGTTGGTCTCTTCCCCTGGTATTGCTTTGTTGTGTTTTAGCCAAGATCAAAGGTAGTGTTATAATTATAGTTCATCTGAAATTGTGAATTCACTGACATTATTACAGATGCCCCAAGTTTCTTAATTTCCATAGCATCCCCTATGAGTTTAGCTGAACTACCTTTAAAATATTGAACTATTTTGGACAGCGATAACTACACTTTTTTTAAAAAAAGTACAATTTATTTAAAGTACTAACATCATATTAGCACATTTGATTATGTGTACTGAAATTTGGTTAGTACAGATTGTCAATGATCACCACACTTAGCAGCATGAAGATTTTTATGTCCATGATTTATTAAACAAATTGCCTATATTTAACAGGCAGGATTTATTTTGGCCAAGAATTGTTTTTTGTCACAGTTTATTTTCTCTGCTTTGTTTAAAGGTCAATACCACATTGATGTTATTAATCGCATAAAGATTTGCATTTGATTCTTGCACAAGAATTAGGTTGGAGCAAGATTATAATATTTTCTGTTAAAGAAATAATTGAACATTTAAAGCAATATTCAATCTTCTATTGTTATGGTTACTGCATATCTGATCATTCAGTGATAAATGACCATTTAACTATTCAGACCTCTTATTTGAATTGGTGGAATCCCTCTATAAATGTTGGTTCTTTTTGACAAATTTCCAAAATCAGTCTAGTCAAAGTTTTATCCTGTCATCTCATGATATACAGTTTGACATGTTATACAGTTTGATGCTTACAGGAAGATGACTAATTGGATCTGTATCATTGGGTGTTTGTTGACCTGTTTCCAATGGTTCATGGTGGTCTGCAGGTTAGCAGCAAAGATGAAGATTTTCTGGATCTTTCAGTCGATGTGGAGCAGAACACGTCAATTACACACTGCCTCAGGTAATCCAAACCTCGCTAAATTATTTTTGCCCTGGATACAACAGGTCACTTAATGTGTGTCAGCCTGGCTGATTTGGTAGCACTTTCGCCTCTGAGTCATAAGGTCATTGGTTCAAGCCTAATACTGGGGCTTGGAACTTATTTAATCTATCTTGACTCTCTAATGTAGTGCTAGGGGAGTGCTGCATTGTTAGAGGTGCCACCCTTCAGATGAGATATTAAACTGAGGCCCCATCTGCCTCTACAGGTGGACATTAAAGATCCCAACTGTCCTAAAAGTGAAGGGAGTTTCTCCCGGTGTCATGGCAGTCAATCCCCCAAATAAAATTGGTCATTTGACACATGGTGGTTGTGGGACCTTGGTGTAGACAAATTTGCTGCCGCATTCACTTGCAAAATTTATAGTCACTCCACTTTACAATGTATCCCGTGAAGCACTTCGAGACGTGCTCCCAACTTGAAAGTCGCAAGGATTATTTATTATTATGATACCTATGACATCTGGGTAGATGGGCAACCTGCTTTATTTTGTCTCTAGCAATGCTGCAAACCCTTAATTTTTATTCCTTCACCTGCATGAAAAACTGTTTGGCTTCCCCTTGGCAGCTCCCTATAGCAATATGATCAAGGTCAGGGGTATACCAGTGTGTACAAATATTATCCATATCCATATGTACATTAATGCTTCAATGTACTTCCCACCACACTGTCCTACATTTAGTAGTAACCTATCTTTATTGTTTACAACTTTTGAAATCCTCAAAAGGTCCTTTTTCAAAGTGATAAAAGCATTTTCATAAATATCCAAATCAGGTTTCAGAGAATGTTTTGAACCCAGCAACTGGATGTACATAACACATTCACACGCTTTGCATAGCTGGTGTCCATCTGCTTATTGTTAATGTTCCACATTAAAGAGGCTGGTCTCCCCAACCCCGAGTTGTATATAATTTCACACACCTTTGCTTACAGCAAAATCACAAATTTACTCAGAATCGTAAGCTATGTAGTTCTACAAATAGTAGAAAAATGTTGTGTTGCATTTAAATGATGACTTTTGCGATTTTATTTTACAGAGACTTCAGCAACACTGAAACACTGTGCAGTGAACACAAATATTATTGTGAAACTTGTTGCAGTAAACAGGAAGCCCAGAAAAGGTGAGTGGGTTCAAAATGCACTTATTATTTTTCAGTGTTGTATGGCATGATAATGCATAAATTCCTGCTGCGTATTCTCATTTTCTCATCAAATCATCACAGCTATTTTGTTTCACATTTCAATTTTCATTAATTAGTTTGAAGCAATAAGATCTTTTATAATCCTTGAATAATCCTTGCATTTGATATAGCGCTTTTCACGTCGGGAGGATGTCCCAAAGCGCTTCACAGAATACACTGTAAAGTGAATTGACTGAATATTTGTGGGCGAATGCGGCAGCCAATTGCGCACAGCAATGTCCCACAAACAGTCGTAGATTGAAAATGACCAATTTATTATTGTTTTTGGAGGGATTATTATTAGTCGTGTGGAGTAAGGAAACTTGCCCAAGGTTTCGCCCTCTGCCTGGAATTGAACTCAGGTCTCTCACTTGCAAAGCGAGTGCTCTAACCACTGAGCTACATAAACTCCATAAACATGCATTTACACATTATACAGAATTGCATTATGCATTATGCAGAATAGTTCGTACGTCTCACTAGATTACCCCCACAGTCTGGTTTTATGTGATGCTTAGCATTTACTATTTTATATTAATTTAAATGGCCATTCAGATACTAAAATATTCTTTAGAGGTATAGTCTTTAATACAGTAGAATCCCATTATGAGGTGGTACAGGTAGATCATAAATTACTGCCTCCATAAAGTCTGCTTATTAAAGGGGGTTCATAGCCAGTCAGTGCTACTGCATTTACTTCACGTGCACGCCGAAAGTTGGGCTGCTTTCTACACAAAGGAAATGGCTAGCTTCCAGATCATTAGCGCCACCAGTGTCATTTCAAACAGAGTTCAAGTGGTGACGTAAGCCATACCATTATGACTTAGAAAATGGCCATTTTTAGTGCGTGAGAAGCCGGCATATGTTTTGAAGCGAGCAACTTGATATAAAACAAGCTGACTGGCTTTTTTGTGCAGATTTATTTTGGTAACTCACTATAAGTGAATCCATGTTATAACTGGCATCTCCTGTATTTAGCGCTTGCATAATTTGCAAGTTCATAAACATGACTCTCCTAGATGAGATTGAAATGCCCTTTTCTTTTTTTGCCCAATCTATTCTCTGATAGCTGGTCACTTTTGATTGGTTAGGCATCGTATCATTTGGTGACTAAAAATGTAACTGTTGTAAAGTACGCCTGGATAAAGTGTGGGGATGTACATTGCTATGAACATTTTGATGCCTCTTTGCTTTGTTGGCAGAATGTGTGTGAAGAAGCTGCCCATGATCCTTGCATTGCACTTGAAGAGGTTTAAGTACATGGAACAGTTACATCGATACACAAAACTCTCTTATCGAGTGGTATTTCCACTGGAGTTAAGGCTGTTCAATACATCTGGAGATGCTATTAATTTGGACCGGATGTATGATCTGGTGGCTGTTGTTGTTCACTGTGGCAGGTTTGTTTTGGAAACTTTTTTTTATTAACAATTTGAATCACCTGTGTTCATTTGGTGGGGCTGCTACAACTTAAAAGTGCAAATGAATGACTGATCAGTGAACTGTGCAGAATCGGTAATGATGGTGTGCAAATTCAAGCCAGTGCCATTACTGGGATCAAATATTAGTCAGGCTCAAACTTAAAAATACATGTGCTTTGCAGTCTCTAAAATTTAACATTATAAACGTCTGGCAATGTAATTTTTAGAAATTAAATGCACCTTTTATTCTTTGAAGATATTTGCTTTCTATTCAATGCATGGGAACATTACATTTTCTTTTCAAACTTGCTGAATTTAACATATTGATTCTGTTAATCTGCCTTATGTTTTCAGTCTTGCAATGCCTTTCAACAGCTCCTCCTATTTATTAAGAAAACTTAAGTTGCTTATTTCTCTTACTCTCCATTATTCACTCTTGAAAATGAAGACCTAACCTGTATGTGGGCTAGTGGGGAAAGCAGGAGGGGTTAGAAAGTAGGAGCATTCTGATTCTGAGAACAACAGCAACATTTTTGTTATCTTTTTCTCCCCTTTTCATTTAAGACTACCTAGATAATTAAAATGTCTTTTTCTGTTTTTTTATTTGTCATTGGATAAGTTGTATAAACGTGGCTTATAGAGTCAATGCATTGGTAAATATTTCCATAGTTAGAATTTGATGGTCAATATTCAAAGGAACAACATTCTCTATCTGGAAGCTGACCTAAGGCATTGTACTGGTGTAGACCATTGGCCCATACCCCCACCAAGATATTCTTTTTCCCTGCTAATTGTGCCACTAGAGTATTGGATTTGTTGCTGTGTATAACTCCTAATCTCACATGTACTCCACACGTGTCTCTCCATAGGGATGGAGTATGCCTGCAACAGTTTGCCATCGCATCTGTTCAGTAAGAAAAAGGAATCTCCATCTGCCTTGCTATCCACTTCGGCATGACAGACAGATGCCTCATTTTCAAAAAAAAACTTTTGAATGGTTTTCCTGATTCAATAGGATGTAGGATTTTGATTGAGTTTTGGCCTTTTGGGGGGATTTTTCCAGCAAGGGTCTGCTGATCTGTTGTTGGTGAACCCTCTAATCTGATTACTTGCAAACCGAAAATTGCAATTAATTCAATTAATTTATTTTATAAATATCAGACTTTAGACTCCATTGATAGTCTCTGCCCACCCACAATAAATCCTAGCCATTTGCTTGAAATTACTTGGTTGGTAATGTGTCAAAAGTGCTACAAGGGAAAAAATCGCGGTATTCGATTTTATTCATTTTGTTAACACTTTTTCTTAATTAAGGGCTAGCTTATTGACAAGCCCAAAGCTGAGGTCCCGAACCTGCCTTTAAATATCAATGAGTTTAGGAATTATCCTCCTCCCCTCCGACTTTGGGACAAAAGTTTGTTCTGAGTCTGTTTCCAAAAACAATTGTTGACATCTTGCATTCCTGCTCTGAGATACTACCCGCATGATAGGCATTATATAAATGCAAGTTTTATTGTAACAGGCCCCAATTATTTTTCTTCACCCAGAACCACCGTTTGTTCAATTAAACCAGCATATTATTTGTATTTGTACTGAAATGCTACTATCTGCATTCAGAAACAATTAAATGGGATCGCCAAAATGACCCAACCATTGTGCTGAAGTTTGACTGGGTGGATGAGCGGGGTTGTTCACCCCAGCACTTTGCTATACTGGGTGAATCTAAAGTTCTCCCATTTTTTTCTGATTACAAAGAACTAGAGTTTGAATCGAAATTTTCAGCCAGTAAATTAATTGTACCCCTACACTCCTTGCCTTCCAACCCCCCCCCCCCCTCCCCAATCCCACCCCCCCTGCTCGGGTCCAAATCCCCTGACTGTCCAGCGCCTTGGGACGTGCTTCCGACGTGAAAGGTGCTTTACAAATGTAATTTGTTGTTATTAATTGAGGAACAATGTTAATTAAGGAACAAAATGTGTTTAGGACTTAATTTTCCCCTCCTCTTTCCCCACCCCCCCATAATTATTAAAATTGACTCAAAATATTGTTGCTGTGTTCACTGGAATAGAAATGGTTCAGAAGGGATCTAATAGAGATCTTCAAATTCTCAATGGTTTGGAAGGATACATGTAAAAGATTATCTCACTAGTTTGGTAAGTTAGGGACAAGTTGAAGGCTGTCACTGGAATAGTTAAGGGGGAAGTTGGAAGAAACATTTTGTACAGAGGTTTATTGGAACTTGGAACAGGTTTATTTGGCACAAGTAGCTTTTGAGGCTGAAACCATTTAAAAGGGAATTGGAACAAGATAAGAGTATCGGAGAATCGGGGAACTGCGGCACAAATAATTAGCTCCAGTGAAGGAGCGGAATCAGTATAGACTTGATGTGATTAGACTCAGTCTCCCGTCCGACCATTTCTGTGGCTACTTGCCATAATTATGTATTGATTCAGGAGGATATTTCATTGGCAAATGATTCGTACACGTTTGTTGTTCATAAGAGATTAATGGTGTTTAAGATTTGCACAAATGGTAGAAACCATAATAAAAGTATAAACAAGAAAACCTGAAGGAAACAACATGGAGGCAAACAAATTTAAGTAGATTGATAATTTTTCAGAGCTTGAAATCAGATGAATTACTGTTGATATCCATTAGGACTTGGATATATAGATTTAAATGTGTGCTTTGTCAGTTTCAGGATTTTTATTTTTGTGTTGGTTTGATATTAATATAGTGCATCAATGGCTTGTCTGGTTTCATGAAAGTTATTTTATCCATTTGGTCATGACCAAGTTCCTTTTATTTCCTTAAAGCAAAATGAGAAGCAGTCCTGCAATCCAATCCAAGGAGCTGAGCAGTCTTTGTGACCATTTTACTATAATGCAATATGAGTCCGTGCTTACATTTCATGTTATAGTATACATTCTGCTCACAGATTTAGGAATTCATTTGATATTGATAACCATAAAAAGAGGAGATGAGATCAGAAAAAAGGTCTGTACACAGCAGGGGGGTTTGGTTGGAATGTGGAATTCCCTGCCACAAACTATTGTTGAAGCAGAGGCCATTCATTATTTTACAATGCGATTAGCTAGATGCTTGAAAAAGAAGATATTGAAGATTGGTAGCGTGATTAGATTACGCATCTCATGTGGAGGTAAACATGAGTACAGATGCTTGTTTCTGTGCTGTAGTATTCTACAATGGTTTTCTAATTTCCATTTTCTTTTCCTCTTTCAGTGGCCCCAACCGCGGACACTACATAACTATTGTGAAAAGTCATGGCTTCTGGCTTTTGTTTGATGATGATATTGTTGAGGTTAGTCCTGAATTTATCATTCCCATACAGTCAAATCTTACTCAAATCATGAGTCGAAGTAGGCATCAGAATAGAATTATTTTTAAATTTCTTGATGATCAGGTAGGGAAGCAGCCCACTCTTTGTTCTATGCCAGTTGCACTCCCCAAATCATCATTAGGAAAAGCCAGTTGTGACTAATATTGTTATGACATTTCCATCCTCCTCCCGTCCTCGCCTCCCCTGAGACCTGGAGTCTCTCTGACTCCCTCCCTCAACTGTGTAAGGTCTGTCTCAAGACATACCTCTTTCACCAATGCTTTGTGTTATCTTTCCTCTCCCCACCCTCCTCAACTCCCAGCCCAGCTCAGGTGCCCAGCCAGCCATGTCAGGTGCTTTTGGATGTCCTTCCTACATGAAAGGTGCTGTAAGAAAGTACATTCATACTGTATTTCTGTACAAAACATGGTTTGGCCGCTGTAAATAAAGATATATGACATTTAAATGCAAATAGGAACATATTAACACTCTCGTGAATGTGGAAAAGATCTATGTTTCACAGGATGCAAAACTTCTTGAATTAAATTTGGTTGAGAATTTGTCTTTAAGGAGGATTTTAATGTTTGGAAGAAGTGTTTGAAAGTGCCCACTTGTAGAAGACCTGGTGTGACATTAATTCTATCTGTATGTTTGATTTGGTCTGTTTTATTTTAATTTCTTTCTACCTAGTTATGTACTTGCATGATTACTATTTTCAAAAATTAAATGGTTTCTTTTTCTTTTACAGAAAATTGATGCTCAGGCTATTGAAGAATTCTATGGGCTGACTTCGGACATTTCAAAAAACTCAGAGTCTGGATATATTTTATTCTATCAATCAAGAGAGTAAATAATGAAGTATTGGCCTGAATAATCAGGTAGATGAATAGTTAACTAGTGAAAGAGCTGAGGACATTGCCAACTGGCAATTAGTAGGGCAACCATTGTCCTTTCAGAACTCTTTCACAGGGTGTCAGAACAGGATTTATGACCATGCTTTGGTCTTCTATAGGCTGTGGACAAATGTGTGATCTTCCGACACTGAGTTCTGTAGGCCTCTGAAGTTTTGACTGGGAGCATTCAGTTAAAATACTAACAGAAGTAATGCAAGTACGCATGCAAGACTGAATAAGTCCTTTCTTAATATGTGCCCGATTAAATATGGCAGTATCATTGTTCACCTGAGGTGTTCTTTCCTATCCTGATCCCAACCTCTTGTGTGCTTCACTATTATTAGACCTGGGGTTTGGAGGAGGTGGGCAGGAGAGAAGATAAATCGCCTCCACACCATATAGAAGTGGAAGTTTGTCTGATAGAAACTGACTGCTAAATCACTGGGTTGCAGAACTGAATTGAATGAGTTCTGGTTGTCAGCATTTTCATCTCCCAATGAAAATGTACATGCAAGGATTGTTGCATACTGCTTCACACTGTGACAGAAACCTGCCCATTTATTTATTCATCATGTTAAATAATGTTCCTTTTTGGGGGACTAATATACAGCAGGAATATCTCTCAGAAGATGGCAATGTGATTGGTTTATTAACCTATTTTTTTGTTCAGTCGCTAAATAATCGTCAGATATTTTTTATGTCACTTCTGTGCATAATGAGATCCAAGATCAACAAATGGGAACAAATCATGGAATTTGTATTTCATTCTAGTATACAATTAATTATTTTGTTTAGAGCTAAATTTGAATCACATGAATAGTCACTTTTAAATGGTATATCACATTTGGTTGTGATTGAATGGTTAAAGTTTACCTTCTACAATGACTTTCAATTGTAGCTGGATAGAACTAAAGTACCATGTTGACTGTTGCTATTGGTTGTGTTCTGTAGCTTCTGGGATATTATCTAGTCTCTCTTTATTCACATATCATTAGGAAAATACAGTAATATTTAGAAGAAAAAATAGTGAGGTGTCAGCAGTAAAGATGCATGTGATAGCAGAGCAAAAGTAACTTTAAGAGGTTCAGAAAAAAATCACCTGAGACAGAAATACTCAAAACAGAAAATCATAAGTCAAATTCTTTAAACGTTAAGTTGCAAATATCGTTGCATTATTGGTACTATTGTTCATATAAATGCTATATGGGCATTCAAATCGATTCGGATGCGATAAATTAACTTGAATTAAATTTTGCCAATCAATACCTGTTTTGTCTGTGAATTTCAGACTAATTTCACTTTTTCATTTTAAACCTGTATAAAATATTTACAGTACATTTTGATTACTTTGTCTCTAAGTCACATCCCTAGTTAGTACCTGTCAGATTGATTACTATAGAAAGCTCATGTGCTGCTTAAACGAAATTATTTTACTTTTTCTAGAATTTAAAACTTTGTGTGTGATCTATTTCTTTCCTCCCCACCCCCTCCAAAGCATGCCCTGATTGGTTATGCAAATGTGTGTGTGATTTTTTTTTAAAAAAAATTGTTAATCCAGTAATTAACTTCCAAAGTAAGTGTAACAATTCATTAACATTTTGCACTTAGCAAGAATTCAAGGGGGGGAATCCAAAGAAGTCTGAAGCGGAGGGGTAGAAACTTATTCTACATGGAATACTCAGGCAGGATCAACAGTATTGTAAATTCTTCTTCATATAATCACATTTTGTGTGTCATCCAACAGAGAAAAGGTCACCTAGAGGCATTGTTCCTTTAATGCATAGTTCACACAGAAACACAAAACAATTTGTCCTGAAGGGCTCTTTGATCACTACAAACAGACAGCGTGAGTCAGTTCAGCTGCTGCTAAATAATTCCTTAAATGTTCTTCGCAGTCCAGGGAACTTGGAAGGCTTGTGTGATGGTAATAATAACTGTAATACAGTAATAAAGTTTTGCATAGGTTGCTCCTTGGTCCCAACAAGAGTGTTTTGAGTGCATGAAATGTAAATCCATTTTCAGCCTCTGATTCACTCTTAACTCCTGGATGTGATGTTGTACTTATTCGGCTCAACATAATATTTTTGTGTCCTGCAGTCTTTTGGTTAGGTAGTTTATCCCACTTTGTCCTTATTTTGAGCCATATTTTATTGTTCCCACCTATTGCAGCAGAAATACTGCAATGTGTCCACAAATATCAGCATTTTGACACTTCAGATCGTATAGTAGTTATTGCCTTTTGCAGAAATCAAAAGTGTTCAATTAAGTTTTAGTCAACTATTGTCACTGATACTAACTGAGATGGGTTTTGCTACTTTGTATTTTAAGCATCAGTTAATCTTCTATGATTAAATTGTGCAGTTGATGATGCTGCAGTTTTTAATATTTCATTTCTAATGAATATCCTAGATCTCTTGCTAGTGTCAAGGTGTCTACCAATGTTGCAAAATATTTAGAAGTGGGAAGTCTACTCCATCCGAAGTAAAAGGTGCATAATAGCTTCTCAATTCACTGACAGCCAATCCATTAAGTAAAAATGCCCTCTTCCTCCAAGCAGAGTTGTCAATAATTTATTTGCCTACCATTATAATTTATAAATAGAGGAAGTAATCATTTACAGAAAAGAATGTCTTCCCCCTCCATTTAGAAATTAAAGCATTGTTCTTTCTACTGTTTTCTTAGTTATAAGAGTTCTAAGTTAGTTATAAGAAGTCTTTCCAAATCTTTTGTTGTGGTTTGTACAGATTACCAAGACAAATTGCTTCACCTCAAAGTAGATGTTGCTTCGTGTAAATTGTTTTGGGGTCTAATCAGAAGTTTGAGACTTGGATGAAATGGAACAAAAATTTACAAACCACAATTATACAAAAAGTGTTTTGGGGTTTGTACACGCTGTGTTATATTTTCTTTGACTTTAATTTCACACCGGTTATCAATATCCTAGAGAATCCTGGGTTAACAATATCCTGGAGAATCCTGGGTTAACAATATCCTGGGTTAACAGAAACTCTGAACAAATTTATGACAGTCTCCTCAAATATGAACCTTCACTGGAATGTAGATAATTTAGATCAGTTTATCAATCCTACCCAAGCCTGTTAAACTGGTAATCCCTCTTTTACTACAGGCAATAATCTTTTTACTCTTCTTAAAACATTTTCATAAGGCTTCCTGTGGATAGACTAAATGTAGTAAACATTCCACGCCCACCAAAATACTTTCACCAGACCATTATTCCAAGTCATTTAGATAACTAGGGTAAAAATGTCTACATTCACAAGGCACTCTTCAAATACGACGGTGCTTACTCAATTGGTTCAACCAAACTCACCCATAAATCTGGGCGATGTGTCTCATCATTTTAAGGGATTATCAGGATAGTATGATCAACAGACAAAAAAATGGCATCAGCAACTAATGATAGATGAAGGAGTGGTGTGTGTTGCATGGGATATGCTGGGGCAAAAACATACCCAGGTGAGCGCTTTCAACTTTGGCCTACAGACAATAATGTGAATTCACTTTAGTCATCAAATAGAAATCTTTAGAACGCTTCAGAAAACACATATGGAGAGCAGAAGCTATTCAACAGGGCACACACAGTTCAATACACTCTGTTTTGAGGTGGGTAGGATACTTTTGGCTTCAAGTCTGGATTTAAAAGATCTAGGGAAGGAGGTAGGGAAAAGGCCTAAAATAAAACTGTCCCAGCTTACATTGTTTATTTGAACTGCCAACAACAGTTATTCATTGTCACTGCCTTTCTCACTAATAGACCATATCAGGCATTTCTCAGGCTATAAGCATCTTCTCATCAATAATTGGATGAGGGAGGTTGTTAAGGCTTGGCATTCACTTTGCAGAGACTTTCATTCGGTCTTAATCCCCCCCCCCCACACACAAGATTCAGGGCAGTCACTCTCTTATAAACCAATGGCAGTGGGAGGCAATAAACCCCCTAAATATGGCCTTAGAAGTGGAAAAGCTTTTGATTCTTCACCCAAAGAAGAATCCCCTCTGGCTACTTTGTAAAACGAGAGAGCTTTCGCGAACAAAAGAATGCCAATCCATTCTGGACCTAAGGATTGTGTATCCCATCCATCTACTTGATTGAAAAGTCTATGATGGTAACAATGCTGTAGCTAAGCCCAGCTGGTGATTCCAGCATATTGCCTGGTGGCCATACAAGTCACGAATGTATATTTTCAAACTGGGATTTTAAGATAACTTTAGAAAGTTCCACAGGCTCAGTGCAGAGTAGTCTGTTACCAATAAATATTTGCAGTCTTGTATCACTACCGCAAAGTGCCCATGCATTGTGAATGATGACCTTTCATTACAACTAAAGCACCACTACATGACCCCTCGCTTTATAGATGACAAGCTCATTCAGAGCTTCCTCTCAAAATACTTCATAGGCAACAATTCCGCAGAGTTGGGTTTCCTAAACTGTAGGCATAGTATGATTCAAAACACAAATACTGCAGATGCTGCAAATCTGAAAACAAAAACAGAAGTCGCCGGGTCCTATTCTGTCTAAGGGTCATGGACCTGAAATGTTCACTCACTTTCCTTTCTCCATAGATGCTGCCTGACCTGCTGAGTGTTCCCAGCAACTTCTGTTTTTGTTTTCAGAGTATGATTCAAGTTTGACTATTTACACATTCTCAGCAACGTACTTTATACACACACCAATATGAGTCTTGCAAATAAATAATGCGGTCTTGCATGGATACTGAATGGTGGTAATGTTAAGGAGCCAATGACAAGATTGGCTCTTTAATAACATGGAAAAGTTCAGAAACGGTTCAGTAAACTGACAAAGAACATCTAAACTTAAATTTTAACCTGTCTTTTAACATCTGTTTGAAATCTGCTGTGCAAACACGATTTAAACTGCGATCCATTGATTCCTCAGCCAGTGTTGGGAGTGGGACTTGGAATCACGCCAATATCCCAATTTATACTGCACTTTTAATGTTGATTTAATGCAAAATTCAAATGGTAAAAATAGACACTAAAGTAATAGAGTTCCTTGTTGGCTTTATCCTGCTGGATGACGTGATCATGTTGTATGTAGAGGTTTCTAAGATTGAGGAGAATCATGCTTTACTTGGGCAATAATCATCTGTGCCCTGAATACATCAATTTAGGTACTGTTGAGGAACTGGATATAGCATCAAGGATATGCTGTATCTTAAACATCGTTGTAAATTTCTCTGCCAGCAATTCATTTGCACTTTCTAGTTTTTTTTAACAAATGATCTTTTGAAAGAGAGTATGTAAAAAAAAATGTATACAACTCTTCTTGCCAAAAGACTTGCTCAGGTTTAACTGAAGATGTCCATTAACATTCTGTGAATAACCAACATGGGAGGGTGGGGGGGTGGAGGGATTGGGGCCGGGGGAGAGAGAAGGGGGTAATGGAAAGTTAGAACATTCGGCAACACATTGCAATAATATATAATATCAATGTATGGTAACATTTTCATTGTTAAGAAACTGCTTTTAAATAACAAAATAATCATATGGCAAAATAATTCATTGAGCACAATATATCCAAGTCAGCTGTGTTTGTAAAATGTTGATACTTATGTTTCTGAAGTGTGTGTATGTATGTGTATTGCACTACAAAAATCAACCAGAAAGCTGATTCCAATAACTGGAAAATATGGTACTGTATTATGAATTGAGAAAGGTTTGCAAATGTTTGTTTATTGAAGCTTTGGATGAATAATTTC